CTTTTTAGAAAGTGAACCATGGATGGGGAATTGTTGGCAGTTTTCTCAAAAAATGCTTGAATTGAAGAAGTTTTAGCTTTGCGTGATTTTTTTAGAGTTGCAAAATCCACTTGAACATGACGCTGCTTTTTTCGAAGTTTCTCAAGCCCCCTTTGAGCCACAGAATTCGTTTTGGCGTCGTTGGATAGATAATTGAAAACTCGATTCAGTCAGAACAACACAAGTGAGCAAATGCGAGTTGTTCTGACCCAGAAAGCGAAATTTGAACTGGTCGGTAGATCGCCTTGTAAATTCGTGTGTCCGACTTTGTGCTCACCCCTCTGTCTTGTTTGTGCTTTGTGAATTTCAATTTCTACAACAAAATGCGGCCAAAGCGAAAATCGCTACAATTAACTGTAAAGATAATTAAAGAGCAAAGCCATAACACCTGACGAACCTCTGAAGGGCCCCATAGAGATATGCTGGTAAAACCGAGTAGGTGCTGGGCAAATCAAAGGACAAGTTAATTGACAAGTGAGTAGGAAATGAGGGTCAGATAAGTTATTATTACCAATGGAGCCGAGCTCGAGTTTCTTGTATTGACAATTCCATAACTTTTCCGATAAATCTAAATAATATATCCCTGTGCCAACAAGAAAACGAATCAGTAGATAATCAAATATGAGCCGGAACATAAACCTGTGTAGAAATTTCAGATAAAGTTATGGAACATCTAGATATTTGCAATCGTATAAATTTTGATGGCCCGTAAAACGGAAGCGTCTTTTTTGCGGATCAAATTATTTCACTGCTAGTCAAAATATATCGCAGATAGAATTTTTGGGACAAACTAATCTTGTTTGCCTGTCCCCATTTGTATCTCTTTTACTGAATTGATTTTTCGAACAAACTTTTATGGGTATTGTAAGAAAATTTGTTAGAGGAGTAAAGCATTAGAGTTACATTAGTTCGTTGAATGAAAAAATAAGTTTCATTCAAGCCACTTACAATGATGTGTTTCGAGATAATTGAAGTAATTTTAGAATTCCTGCATTTAATCTCTGGTCCATTCTGGCTAACAATCAACAACGTCCCAGGAGCAATCCCCAGCTAAATGGTAACGGCGGTGTAATTTGAGCAAAAGTTTCACTGAGCTCAGAAAAAAATATCGCAGAACTTTTTATCCTCCTGCAATTTTCGGAGCCTGCTGACTTGCAGTTCACCTTCACTGTTATTAGGTTCAAGCAACGGGTATTTCGGAGACGATCCTTTTTACCGATAAGAAGTCTTGTTATCATTATGATGTGGCTAAGGGCACGACCGTTAAACTTTCGACCTTGTAGTCTCTATAATCTCGTAATCTTCTTATCGTTTCTTTCAGCTCAGCGAGGTATTATGTCAGTTTTCCCATTCTTTGCAATTTTCCAAATACCACTATATATTACTAGCAGTTTCCATAAAAAGGCATTTTTGCCCATCAAATAACCAGATTAGGGATTCGTTTAACAACACAACTGGCCGTACCTTCATGTCAGCTTGATTGACCAAATATTGATGTTTTACCAATTCTGCTATAAATTATACTTTACTGATTAATGACAGGCGCGAAGGCTGAACATCGTGGCAGAGCAAATATGTACAGAAAAAATCCCGGTACACTCTAACCAGTCTAACCGGAATAATTCAAAGGGGAATTTGCAAATCTCCTCTCTACCCCCTATAGAAATATTAAAATTTACCGGAACCTTTGAATTTGTGTTCTTTCCACGAGAAATTCTACAGTGGGAGCATTTTTCCACTAGGCGACTCGGTTTAGTTAACAACTTGTAAATTATTCAGCACCCGAAACAGAAGAAAACACTTTACCTCCGAAACGAAATGCATTTCGATTAAATAGAATTTTCGCTATAAAATAGATAATTTGCACAGTCGAATGGAATACGCAATGCCTTTTGGCATGTAATGCGATTCGCTAAACTCTATAAGGATTGGCAGTTCGGTTGCCAAAATTTCAATGACTTTTCCTTAAATTCTTGAGAAAAAGCTACTAATTCTAGTGCTAGGTTGGTTTAGAAAATGTCGACTTGTCGCATAAGTATGGACGGGCTTGATGAAATACGAGTATTTCAAACTTACAATGGAGCCCATCTAGATCCAGTATATTGTTGGTTAAATATCGTGGAAAAATGCCAAAAGCTAAATTTTTAAACCGGATGCATTCGTGTGCATTCGAATGGGAAAGTAACTTTGCTTCAAGTTATTGTACTTAGAATTTTCGGCCATAAAATACCTTTCTATTATGTGCAGTTTTCAACTTTGGCTAGTATTTATTCTTTCCATAGTCGCGCTAAACACGAGGGGGCTTTTACGGACCGATAAACTTTCAGAACGATCTTGAAAGCTTTATTACGAACATTTCCTTCACTTAAATTCTAAAATCTTCGATTTTTTTTATCGTTTAGCTAATACTATAAAAGCGTTATACTAGACAAAGAACGTGGAATTTGGCGGCTGAACTTCAGTAAAGCTTTCGACTGTGTCACTGCCACATCTCTTTATCTTGAGTACTTAATAAGAATCACTTTTTGAGGCAATTGCGGTCAAACTCAGCGTCCGTCTGTATTTGCTTTACAGAAGAGAGCGATAAGATCCAGGCTTGTGCCAGCCATCGGGCGACTGTTCGTCGCCTTCAGGATTCTTACTCTAAACTTACATTTTGATCCTGCTGACGGCTTGGTTTATGTTTGCAAAGTTTCGATTTGATCGTTTTAATCCGACTGTTCATTGAACTTAAATTGTGTTTTTCGTTCTACCAATCAATTACTAAATTCAATGTGCTCAATATATTTATGTTTCAGTTTTTACATTTAAATTAGGTAGATTTTAAACCCTAGATGGATGACTATCGAAAACGTAGATAATATTTTAGTCAGATTTCCATGATACTGATAAATGGCCTAATTTCTGGTTTGCTGGCAACTTGATGGGGTAATTATTTTTGCAAAGCATTTATTTACTAAATAGGTTTTACTTTGATGAAATTCGTATTCATAATTTTTGTGTGCCCCTTGAAAATCACTTTCAGCTTTGTGATGTATCAATAAAAACCAAAAATAACCAATAACAATGCTTTAATTGCGTTTGAGTGGCTCAGCTGGTTGTAATTTATATGTAGGGTCACTTAAATATTCACGTCGTTTCAATGTCTGGCTCATTAAGTTGGAGAGAAAGGGTTAATTTGATATGGGTTCAGTACACAATATTTGATAAGTATCAGGCAGTTAGATTCATGGCTTAGGAGAGCAATACAATTTATCGCTTCGAACTCGTCGGAAAACTTTTGGTTCAGCATATAGGTAAAGGGTTTGTCCGTAAATATTCCGGCTTTCGTATAGTTTAACATTAATTTCAGGGCTTAAACAGAATTAAATAAAACCACGAATAATCGTTTCAATATTGATTATCCAAAGTTGCTCTTTTGGAAATAATTAACATAGTTGAAAATAGATATTAGTTATTGGAAGTGAAGTTTGGAAGGTGTGAAAGCCTAATTGAAATGTTAATAACAATCAATCGACTTACTTTCTTCAGGGACTCCTTGTGCTTGAGGACATTGAATGCTTTCGTATTGGGTCCTTCCATAACTCGCGCTGTATACGGCCACTCTCGAATGTGGATTGCACTTCAGCTGAATTCGTTCATTCTCACAGGCCACTTTACTTCGAAACTCATCTGAAATTTTAAATTCATATTTAATGGGAGAATTTATGGAATAATCGATCTGGAGATAACTCTTGAATAAATGAGTTGAATCTTGAGGGAAATCTAAAGCGAGAAAGGATCTCAAGTTCCTAATATCAAACGTAGCCTTTTAGCCGCCTACTTATGTATTTATTGTCACTCTTACTTTGCATGTATTTTAACTTTGCTGAAACAATAGCAAACTGAATTATTTACCAAAAAACTTCCTTAATGTTTGCGAACTTTTGCTTCAAGAAAAAATAATGCCGACTGAATAAATTGAGATCATCCAACGCTGTAGAATATTGCGAGTATGTAGATGATCCGTTTACTTTCAGCCAAAGGATAAATAGTTCTTTTTTGATATCAGCAAACATTCTGGCCATGCTGAGGCGCTCGCAGTAATTTATTCAGAGCCGTATCATACGGTCGAAGGAAATAAACTGATCAATAGTCGAATGTCTTTATCATTTTTATTCTCGAATAGATTTCGTAAATCCATAGTTGCCTTATTCCTAATAAAGGCCAACTTTTCTGCACGATTTAGTGAAAATCGATGACATTGAGTCTAAAAATAAAAGATATAAAACAATGGGCCCTCAAGGTTGTATAGCGACGTAATTTTCTTGTTAAACAGAAAGCGTATTTAACTTGGAAATAGACTAATTTTAATTAATCGTAAAATTCCTGAAATACTACGAAGGTAAATCCGGAGAGTCACAAATTGAAAGCTCTAAATTTATCTATTTCGTACGCTCTTCTACTAGACAGCTTCGCTCTCTAGTTTAGTTTGGAACACTACCTGTGATTTAAATGATTTTATCTTACGATGTTGAGGTACTTTCTATGTAAGACATGCATACTGGGGAATATAATTGATGATCCTACTGCGTACAGAAACGTGATCGACGAGGAAATTGAAATTTTCCTCACAATATTAATGGGTTCTTTGGATTCATAATTTCTTCCTTAATTAGTATCAGATCCGCGATCATATATCTAAACATATTTCATACACTTTGAAAGTGAGCAATCGAAGTTTAATGTTCGACCGGAAATTTTCCCGCTTTTCCAACATTTTTGTTTGGCTCCGATAATATCACAGATAATTACGAATTACTGTGCGAAATGGATTAATCATTGACTAATACATTTCCAGAGCAGTATGTTTTGAGAAGAATATATAATTTTCGGGTTTATTCTGTTTAAACACCATGTTGATAGACGAGTTTAGTGGGTCATTATTCAATGCCAATTAATTTGTTGTTACACGCTGCGCCATGCTGAGCTTTCGAATAGTGAATAATGATAAAACAATACTTTAAACAACATCAACTGGGAGGTTTAAAAGTAGGGCTATTTTGGGTCTTCGCTGACAGTCTGGTACCTCATTCATTCCTAATCGAATTTGGACGAAAGTTGGCCAGCTTATAGATAACCTAAAGTTAATTAACTGTGCATAATGGATCCTATTTTCAGTAAAACTTAACCGAGTTAGTAAATTTGATTTTACGGTCTATTCTATGAAAGTAAAGAAAATTTACTGTGATATTCCTCATCGCATCCAATGGAAGACTTGTTTTCGAGGCCGAAATTAATTAATAGGAAACATTTTTTTTGGTCTAGATGGTTAGTTAAATTTGAAACTGGATTTTAGCTGTGCAAAGATTCAATTATATGAGTTAAACTTCGGCAGTCAACTCACTCTGAAAATTTCTTTCAACAGTTCCTGATAAGCAGAAGCACAAAATAAATCTTAAACAGAAATGTATTTCTGAGGAAAGGTATAGAGGTTTTCCTAAGTAGTCGTTTTATCTCGCGAATTCGCGGAAACAGTTTTATTTTGCGAATTTGTCTTCTTTACGGAAATGGGTTCGAAGACTTGATTTGCCCGCTCTCTTTTTCAGACCATCCTTTGTCCAGAACTCGCAATGTTTTTGCAAAAAGAATTGTCTCATTAGGAAACATTTCCGGATAATGGAGAGACTCGCCGTTCATCGATGCTTGAATTATTTTGATTCGTTCAAAACGAGCCAACTCTCAACTGGATTCTAATGAAAATTGTGCAGCCAATGTCTTTCTCGTTTGCCATATCTACAACACGACTTGATTATGCATTTCTGCTGTCAAATTAGATGCTCCCAGGAGGATTCTAATACGTTAATCAGTAGAAATGGCAGCTACATGTGATTGTATAAGTCATAAGCCGAGGTGCCGCCAGCGGCGGCTAGTTAATACACACTTTTAAAGTCAAAAAAGTAAAAAATTGTGCAGTTGCAAGATATGGATTCATCGTCGCCACTGAACAAATTTTAAAAACGAATATTTTAAAAATGTATTATTGAAGTTGCAGCTTATATGGAACATTTAAAATATAAATTATACTGCTGCTTCAGTCGACATAATTCGTCGACAAGTGTAGGTGAAGGACGATTGTAGGAAGCGTGCAAGGTATTCTGGCAAGATTTTCATCTCCGTCCGATATTCCAGTGTCTTGCTGCGAAAGTAATTTCATAGGTAGGGTCACAATATAATATAAAGATTTTACATTGCAATTCATTTTCTCATTTTGTCCGTAACATATTTTCCACATCTATCACCGAAGGCCCTGGAAAGTCGAGGCGAAACCGGTTTATCTGTCAAAATTGCTTTATGGCAATTTTTATGGTTTAACGTTGTGCTTTGGCCGTCTATATTGTGAACTATCGCCGAAGTTTGGCAGGCGCTTTATGATCCACCAGCATTACTTTTGATAAGTAGTGAGCAATAACAAACATTTCCCCGACTCGAAACACTCTTATTGCCTCTTAATCAGGACGGGCCAATCGATTTATCAAGAAAACCAGATGCATTAACGCAACCCTCTAATTATTTACCTTCTTAGGCACCCTTTTCAACCACGGATTCTCCCTTGGTCCTTTTCACAGATCCCACCAAAACATATGCTAGTAATTGAAATGAAAATAATGTGGAATTTTGTTAAATTTTAAAATTACTGCTGACTAATGCTGACTGACTAAATGCTGACTGTTGATCAGATAGCAACAAATTTCTTTGTCGTCTTTATTTGAAATAAACCTGTTGTAGAACAGCAATTAAATAGCAATTTAGCGACCTCTTTTCGAAAAATGTTTGTGAATTATACGAATTTCGCATCACCAATGTGGCCTGTAGTCGGTCGGTAGTTAAAAGGTAATTTAAAAAAAAAATGCACGTTTCAAATTTCGAGAAATTGGTGTATGTAAACACATTTGCCTGTGTGAGTTTAGAAAATAATTCCGTTTTAATTTTCTACATTGTGAAATGACAATTTAATTCCGTTCGAATGTTATTTTGGAACATGCAGTGAGTATTAAAAGAGGGAAAAATCTGGGGAGCTATTATACAACCAACATGGGTTCTAATCGCCCCTAGTGGAGTTACTTTGTAATGCAGGTAGTGTAGGAAATTTGGCCCATACATGCTTTGCAATATTAGCGCAGGTTAATAGCTTGTTCATTTTATCTTGATCGGATCAATATCTTCACATTTGCTGGACATTTGGGTAGGGACCAGCTTCTTTTTAATTAAACTTCACCAACTAATTGAACTTTGCTCTATTAAGTAATTAGCATTCAGCGCGTATCAAACAGTAATGACTTTCAGTAATTTGCCACTCATTCATGAAGAGATCTCTATCGGAATTATTATTACAAGGAAACATACTCTCAGCTTATACGGATCAAACTTGAATTCAATAATATTCAGGAGCTAAAGCACCGGAACGACACTTCCAGTAATAGAATTGTGGCTGCATAATGATCATTACCGTGCCCACCGGCTACAAGAGATGGATTGATTTTCAGAAAGCACTATTACCTCTAAGTTCAAGCGACTTAAATGGAAAATTTCCTTTATTAATCACTGCAATTTAAAACTTTTCCGCTAGAACTAGTAATTGGCCTGTTTTACCAACAACTTTGCTCGCAGGTGCGTTAAATTTGGTTTCGAGCGACTTTGGTGATTATGGCTTCAGCATTTTTAACTATTCGGTAATTAATCGAGCACCGAAATGGCGCAAGAATCTTTCAGTATTTATTCAAATTATACGGAGCAGTAAAATTATACTAAAGTTCCTTATTGATCTATTCGCAATTCATCTTAGTTAATCAGTTAAAGTCGTAAAATAAGAGAGTTTTTTATTTTTTACAAACTTCTTTTTGGGTATTTCGCCTCAAAAATTTTTGTCTTTGTCAAAAAGACTCAAAGAACACCAATCATACATAAAAACAGAGAATATCATAAATCACACATTTGCCAACTTGCATTTGATAATTGCCATAAAATTCAGTGGAATAATTCCACAATTTTAACAAAAGAACAATCCACAAAAAAACGTAAAATTAAAGAAAGCGCACTAATTTTACTAAATCAAAATAATTGTGTTGCTTTATGTTCATTTAATTTAAGTCATACATGGTTACCTATGCTAAAATCTGAAGTAGACCAGAGAAACATACACCCAAATTAAATTTACACCAAAATTATTAATTTAAACAATGAGATTAAGTCAAAGTCACATAACTGACAATTTGCACAGACGAATTATAAGAGCGAATTTTCATATATTGTATTATCCTACTATTGTTACACAATTTATTAACATACTCTTTTTTAGGTTCATTTAGGTTCTTTTGATAACGAT